TTTTTGCATCTGTGTTCATTAGGGAGATCGGTCTATAGTTCTCTTTTATAGTTGGGTCTTTCTCAGGTTTTGGTACTAGAGTAATATTTGCTTCCAGGAATGACTTAGGAAGGATTGCTTCCCTTTCAATTTCATTGAATAGTTTGAGGAGTGTCGGCATTAGGTCTTCTTTATATTTCTTGTAGAATTCTGCAGTGAATCCATCTGGGCCTGGGCTCTTCTTGGTGGGCAAGGACCCAATTACATTCTCAATTTCATTAGCAGAGATTGGGTTATTCAACAGTTTTATATCCTCTTGATCTAGCTTTGGTACTTCATATGCTTCTAAGAATCTGTCTATTTCTTCTGTGTTATCAAACTTTTGAGAGTAGAGGTTTTCGAAATAGGTGTTGATGATCCTCTGTATTTCTATTGGGTCTGTAGTGATTTCTCCTTTTTCATTTCTTATTGCATGAATTTGAGCTTTTTCTTTCCTTTTTTTAATAAGGTTGGCTAGGGGCTTATCGATTTTATTTATTCTTTCAAAGAACCAACTCTTTGATTCGTTGATTCTTTGGATTGTTTTCTTAGTCTCTATTGCATTGATTTCTGCTCTGATTTTTATAATTTCCTCTCTTCTTTTGGCTTTGGGCTTGACTTGCTCTTCTTTTTCTAGCTGTTTGAGGTGTAGCATCAAGTTATTTATTTGTATTCGTTCTGTTTTCCTGATGTGGGAACTCAGTGCAATAAATTTTCCTCTCAGAACGGCTTTCATTGCATCCCACAGATTCTGGTAAGTTGTATCTGCATTTTCATTTTCTTTTAGGTATTGTTTAATTTCTTCTTTAATTTCTTCTGTGACCCACTGATTACTCAAGAGTGTGGTATTTAGTTTCCATGTGTTTGCGGAATTTTTGCAGTATCCTTTGTCATGAATTTCTAATTTCAGAGCGCTATGATCCGATAATATGCAAGGGATGATTTCAACTCTTTTGCATTTGCTTAAATATGTTCTGTGAGCTAATATATGGTCTATTTTAGAAAATGATCCATGTACTGCTGAGAAGAATGTGTATTCTGATGTTGTTGGGTGGAACATTCTGTATATGTCTATCAAACCCATTTGTTCACAGGTGTGATTCAGTTCTGTTATTTCTTTGCTCATTTTCTGTCTGGTTGATCTGTCCCTTGGTGTCAGTGGTGTATTAAGGTCTCATGTTACAATTGTGTTACTGATAATTTGAGTTTTCATTTCTGTTAATAATTGTTTTATATAACTGGGTGCTCTGGAGTTTGGTGCGTATATATTTAAGATAGTTATCTCTTCCTCTTGGAGTTTTCCCCTTACGAGTATGTAGTGACCTTCTTTGTCCTTTATGGTCATTGTTGGTTTAAAGTTCACGTTGTCTGCAAACAGAATGGCTACTCCTGCCTTTTTTTTTGGATTCCTGCTGCATGAAGAATTGTTTTCCATCCTTTGACTTTCAGTCTGTGAGTATCTTTCTGGGTTAGATGGGTTTCCTGTAAACAGCATATGGTTGGATTTTGTTTCTTGATCCATTCTGCTAGTCTGTTTCTTTTGATTGGTGCATTGAGACCATTTACATTAATGGTTATTACTGTTAAATATTGGTTAATTGTAGGAATCTTATCTCTCTGGTGTTGCATCTTTATCTTTATGTTCTGTTTAATTATTTGCTTTGCTTAGTGGTTTTTTCCTTTGTGTATCTAAACTGTCTTTCAATATTTTTTGCAGGGTTGGTTTGGTGTTCATGAAGTTCTTCAGCTGTTCTTTGTCATGGAAGTATCGTATTGCACCATCTATTTTGAATGATAGTTTTGCAGGATATATCAGTCTTGGTTGGAAATCATTTTGCTTTAGGATCTGGAATACTTCACTCCATGCTCTTCTTGACTTTATCGTTTGTGCTGAGAAGTCTGCTGTGATTCTGATAGGTTTTCCTTTATAAGTGATTTGTCTTTTCTCTCTGACAGCTTTTAATAATCTATTCTTGTGTTGGATTTCTGGGATGGTGACTATTATATGTCTGGGTGTAGTTTTATTTTGGTTATGACTGTTTGGAGTTCTATATGCTTCACTGATCCTGATGTCAGTTTCTGATCTCATGCTTGGGAAATTTTCAGCTATTACTTCTCTAAATATCCTCCTGACATCCTTCATGTTGTCTCCCTCTCTTTCATTAATCCCTATCATTCTTATGTTATTCTTCTTTGCATCGTCTTGCAGTTGTTGAATTGTTGTTTCCTGGTTCCTTGTTATTTTTAAAAGATCTTTCCTTTCCTGTTCACTAGCTGCAATCCTGTCTTCAAGGTCTGAAATTCTATCTTCACTTTCATTAAGGCGGTTTTTACAACTTTCAGTGGAGTTTTTTATTTCCTGTATATCTCTGTGCATCTGCATTATGTATTCTGTTTGTTTCTTATATTGCTCGTCTAGGGATTCTATCTTTTTGTTTAGTTCCTCCAATTTTTTATCTGTGTTTTCTTTAGATATATTTAGAATCTCTTTCATTTCTTTTATCATTTCTTCTTTTATCTGGGAGATTATTTCGAGTTTGAATTTCTTTAAAGCTTCCTGGAGTTGCTTGTCAATTTCAGTGGCTATTGTGTCCGATATATGAGGTGAATGGGATATATTTTCTTCTATATACATCGCTCCTAGGGTTTCTTGAGATGGGCTGGAGGTTTGAGGTTGTAATTTGGTCTTTCGTTTTGTCATTTTCCTATATTTCTGTGTTTCAAGTGTTATTTGAAAGCTTCCTCAGGATCTGTTGAAAATCCCCTTCTATGTTTGGAGCTACTGGGACTCTGGCGCCACGCTACTCCAAGCCATTAGGCCTACAGAACCAGTGGCCCTCCTCTGCCTGCTCAGAACTCCGCAGTTCCAGACAAGCTGGGCCTCAGGGACACTGTGCGCCCACCTGCCCCTTGGAAGCTCCACAGTTCTTCAATCGCAGCCGGGTCAGGGTACTCACCACAGGCCGCAGTGCTTCAGGAACCTGTGGACCCTCCCTGGTTGCAGAGATATCCACAGTCCTCCAGACACGCAGAGAGGCCGGTGAGGGCACCCCAGATCTGCCCAGCTCCTCCTCTGCAAACCTATGGCCAGGCGCGGCAGCTAAACAGGCTGGGCTAGGCTGGTAGTGTGGGCCAGCCCACCTATCGGGAGCTCAGCAGGTCTCCAAATGAAGCCGGGAATGGGGAGGCTGATGTGGAAGCCTCAAACCCACCTCTCCCCTTCACTCACCTGGAAGCCTGAGGGAACTCCAGCAGACTGGGCGCAGATATCCAGAGTCCTCCAGACACGCAGAGAGGCCAGTGAGGGCACCCCAGATCTGCCCAGCTCCTCCTCTGCAGACCTATGGCCAGGCCTCGATTGTAATTTTCAAGTTTGTAGTGTGTAGACAGACCTTTAGTACTCTTGCACATCTGACTCTGTAGACAACCATTGTAAGCCAGTCTTGTAAATTCTTATATATGTGTATGTCTTGCATTAAATCTGCTTCTTTACTAAGCACTGACTGATACAGATTTTGGTACCAGGCATGGGACTCCTGCTATGACTGTACCTGACCATGTGGTTCAAGAGTCTTTGGAACTCACTTGCAGGAAGGGTTTGGAAAGGTTTAGAGATGCCAGCAGAAGAAGCAGCCCTGTAATAACTTATCTGATGGGAGGCTCTGGTCAGAACCCAGGAGAACAGAATGCTGACAGAAATACAGCTAGTACTTATTATCCATACAGCTAGTACTTAAAATCCTATAAATTATACCCTGTTAATTTATCCTGAACTCTACTAATGGAATAGCAAAGCTTGGGTAATACTGCATATGCTTACAATATCATTTAAAGAATATTTTAAACCCAATGTTAAGAACTAATGCTGAAAACAAGAATCATTTGAAAAATATTATTGCTCATTGACATTGCATTTGTCATCCAGGAGTCTGATGGAAAGGGACAATGAAATGAATGTCATTTTCATGCCTACTGACATAACACTTGTCCTTTAGCTCATGGATCAAAGAATAATTTCAAATTCGAGTTATTAAACAAGTGAATTTTCTCATTCAGTAGATGTTTCCTTGATAAATTTGAGTAAATCATATTGAAAACCTAGATTTACTAGTCTAAAAGTCATTAAGAACATTCATGACTCATGGAAAGAACTCAAAATATAAAACATTAACAAGAGTTTGGAAGAAATTTATTCCAGCACTCATGGATGACCTTGAGGTACTCAAGATTTATGTGGAGGAAAAACCTGCAGGTGTGTGGTAATTATAAGAACTAGAACTGGGATATAAAGATGTGAATTACTGGTATAATATGATAAAACTTGAAAAGTTGTTGCTTATGGATGAGCAAAGAAAGTGGTTTCTAGAGATGGAATCTATTCCTAGTAAAGATGATCTGGACATTGTTTTTTTTTTTTTAATTTTATTTTAAAGAGGGTAAAATTAAACATAACAAAACAGAACAAAATAGAAGAAAACAATGAAAGAGACACAGATTTCAAGGCAAAAAACAAGAGATCTTTACTGTCTATCATATTGTCTCGTTTTCTTCTACATAGTTGTCCATATCTTCACACAGAGTGAATTCATACAAAACAAAATAGTATTAGACTGATCAGAACAGGATGACGAAGACATTTTAGGTCTTCAAAACCAGACAATAGAGAAGTTAACAATGGCTGCCTTAATGTCTCTCCTTCTCTTCAAATAGCTGTCCATACCTTCAGGTACGTGAAATTAAACAATACAAAACAGACTAAAATCACTCTGAGCAAAGAATAATAGTATTGTTGGATTTCATAGAATGATGCTACAGAATCAGCACTGAGTACCTTAGTGTCTCTCTTTCTTCAAAGTAGCTGTTCATTTCATCATGTATTATATAATCTGATCCGGCCTGCAGATCAACAAGTTTGGAACTCCTGGAGGGGAAACGGGGATTAAATAAAAGACATAGGGGAGACAAAAAGAGACGAAGGCAAGTTGATGTTAACCCAATCAAGCCTCCGGTTTATTGAGAAAATAATCACACCTTTTATAGGCTAAGGGCGGGAGCTGGGACAGGAAGAGGTTAAACAGATGAATACAACAGGGTTACCATCACATCCGGATAAGTGACGTAAGCAGAAGAGGATTATGGTTAATGTAGGCAGACGCAGTGCCCATAGGAGAGAGAGAGAGAGACATCTAGGCACCAATGCCTGTCACTCGGCTCCCTACATCTCCTCCCTTTTTATATTATTTAATTAAGAGTATGGCAGGCCCTGTGAGGACAGCGTCTGTCTTAGGTCAAGGACCTCATTGTATGAACCCAACCAGGCCTTACCCGTCATGGGCTTGTAGAACAGCAGTTGGTCCTGTGTCTGTCTTAGGCGGCCGTTGGAATTAACATGCATGTCCTAGTTGCCCGTCTCTGACTGCCTGTCCATTGCCCCAGGGCAGTCAGGCCGCATCATCATATGGGCCACTCGTGGGAATTCCTTCCCTGTAGGTTTGTTGATCTGCCAACTCCAGCTGATGATAGTGTACCTGAATGGGCTTTGCCATAAATGTGTCTATCCAGTTATTAATGAACATCATAATCCTCTGAAAAATACAAGACTCACAGAAATGAGAAACAATAGGTCAGCTAGGGGACCCAAAAGGGGCATTAGGTAAGGGAAAAACTCCCCCCACCAAAATCAAGGAGAAGGGGTTGACAGCCATTTGTTGGTGTCTCTGTATGAAGTCATTCTCCTGTGTCTTGGAGCATGCCTTGTATAACACTGGATGCAGTCTATTTGGCTGGTGTATGTTTCTCTAGACCGAGAAGAGCCTCTTTCGCAGTCATGGGGTTCTGTGCATGGCTGTCAGCAGTTGCAGTCTGTTTGGCAGGGGTCAAAATCCACCATGGGTGTGGTGTGGCTCAAGAAGGCTGGTTAAGCAGCATAAGGCTCCAGGGAGATGTGTCACCTGTAAGGGAACACAGGGGATTGTGCCTCAGGAAATAACATTATTTCTGGGCGTTATATGGGGTCTTTGAAGAACTGTCTATTTGCTTTACGAGGCGTTTAGGTAGCCATCTAGCTTTTTTATCTTGTTGAGAGTAAACACACACTGAGCCTCGTCCCCAGATAAGGACTGGATCAGGGCCATTCCACACATTGGTTAGTGGGTCTCTCCATAAAACAGATGCAAACCGTGTTTGAGTCTGAGTATGTCAAAACCGAGATGCTGCGGAGCAGCCTGAAGCATCCAGGGTCAGAAAATTTAAAATAAAAAGAGCATGTGAAAGGACATTTCTAGGGGACCCCTGGGTGGGGTACCATGTCTCCCTTTTTATTTTATCTATGGTGAATTTAAGAGAACGATGCGCACGTTTAACAATGTCTTGTCCCTGAGGATTGTAAGGTATACCTGTAGTGTGGAGGATATTAAGGCTTTTACAAAATTGAGCAAAGGAGGTGCTGGTATAGCCAGGGCCATTATCGGTCTTAAGCTGTTGAGGACATCCCAGAACTGAGAAGGCTGACAGCATATGGGCTATAATGTGTTTAGCAGCTTCTCCAGTCTGGAGAGTGGCAAAAATGAAGCCACTATAAGTGTCAATAATGACATGTACATATTTTAGATTGCCAAACTCATTGAAATGGGTAACATCCATTTGCCATAAGGCGTTAGGAATTAAACCTCTAGGGTTGACTCCTAGGTGTTGAACAGGTGAGTGGATAGCACAAGATGGACAATTTTTTACAATTTGTCTGGCTTGCTCACGGGTAATTTTGTAGAGAAGGCGGAGGGTGTGAGCATTGAGGTGGTGTAACTGGTGGGCTTGTTGAGCCTCAGGCACCTTGGAGTCCTGAGCCATAAAAACCTGTGCTCGTACAGCAACATCAGCCAAATGATTTTCTTGGGCAAGAGGCCCTGGGAGGTTGGAATGAGCTCGCAGATGACCGATAAAGAACTTATGACGGTCAAGCCGTATGAAGCATTGTAATTGTTTGAACAGATTTGCAGCTGGGGAAGCATGACATATAGTAGCAACAGTCTCTAATAATGGAACAGACTGGGCAAGATAAGCACTGTCAGTATACAAATTAAATGGTTGGTCAGAGTAAGCAGCAAAAGCTGCAAGAATAGCTTCTAACTCTGCTAATTGTGCAGAGGAAGTATCTGCCTGGAGGGTAGAAACATTGTCTTGAGATACATAAGCAGCCCTTCCGGAGGATGAGCCATCAGTGAATAAAACCAGGGCACCCGGAAGGGGTTGTGAAGCTGTGACTTTAGGGAATATAAATGAGTGACGATTAGCAAAGTCAACTAGCTTATTTGGAGGGTAATGATTGTCAATAGTCCCTGAATAGGAAGCTAAGGCAATAGGCCACACTTTAGTACTCTGAAGTAGCCAATCTATTTGGTCTTTTGTAAAAGGTTGAATGATAATATCTGGTTCTTTGTCAAAGTAACATTTTCTCAGCTTTTTACCCTGGATTATTAGGTCTGAGACAGCTTGGAAATAAGGCAAAAGTGTTTTTTTTGGAGAGACTGGTAAATGGACCCACATGAGGGGAGCTTGTTGCCAGAACACTGCTGTAGGGCAAAGCTTTGTATTAAAAATGAGAAACTGTAAAGGCTCATTGTAGTCTATAAAGGAAACGGTTTGTTGAGCAATAGCCTCTTCTACTTTACTGAGCGCTCTCCTGGCATCAGGTGTAAGCTCTCGGGGGGGAAGTTGGATCTATGTCTCCCCGAAGCAGCGCATAAAGGGGCTGTAAATCATGTTTAGTTAGTTTTAAAAATGGTATGAGCCAATTAATATCTCCCAATAGTTTTTGGAAGTCATGAAGTGTAAAGGAATAGAGAAAAAGCAATCTTTAAGATCTATGACAATTTTAAAAAATCTTAAAGGAATGGCACTGGGTGAGGGGAGGCCTGGCTGTAGGGGCCCCATTAAGACCATTGTCTTATTTATCGCCCTAAGGTCTTGTAGCAGCCTCCACTTTTCTGACCTTTTCTGGATAACAAAGATAGGTGTGTTCCAAGGGGAATTACTAGGAACAATGTGGCCTGCATCTAACTGGTCCTGTACCAGCTGCCTTGCGGCTGCAAGTTTTTCAGAGTTAAGGTTGTTTTTAAAGGCTTATATGAATCCCCAATTGGCCATGGAGGCACAGGGAGTGGTGGGCTGCCATCCTGGGACCTGCTGATCACGTCAACAGGTGGTAGTGGTGGCAGATCACCATGTATAAGGACCTCTAACAGGCCATCATTCTCTGCATCTGAGAAATCAGTGGCTTCAGATTTTTTTGAGGACAGTTTTGAGGTAGATTTAAGGGAGTCGCGCAAGGCAGCCTCACCTAGTGTAACTGTCTCCTCAACCTGAGGGTCTGCATGCTTTTGGGCAAGCAGCTCAGAAATTAAATTCCAATATGTAAAGGTGGTCACAGGAACCTTTTTTGGACCGAAAACTCTATAATAATCTTTTAAAACATCTCTTACTGTATTCTACCTCTTGGTATCTATAGAACCCTCTAGGGGGAACCAAGGGCAAACCTTATGAATAAACTGAAAATACTGTAATAATTTTTGTTTTTTAACCCTTATCTCTCTTGTCTTTAATGCCTTTATAAGGCCTCCGACGAACACTTCGTGTTCGCTCAATACTTGACCCATGTCTGGGAAGGGAAATGGGGTTGCCGTTCACTCACCGTGACTCGGGCAGGACGTCGGGTAGTCGTCTGCGCAGGTCTCGGCACTTGATTTAATGTCCTGTTGCTTTAAGCTTTAATCCTTGATTTAGTTTACTCATTCCTCGGCCGAGGTCTCTGGTTTAATTTGCTTTTACTTTTGGTTTAAGCCAGCTGTCTCTCGAACGGCTCCCTCGTTAACTTCTCCGTGCCAGGAGCCCCACGTTGGGCGCCACTTGATCCGGCCTGCAGATCAACAAGTTTGGAACTCCTGGAGGGGAAACGGGGATTAAATAAAAGACATAGGGGAGACAAAAAGAGACGAAGGCAAGTTGATGTTAACCCAATCAAGCCTCCGGTTTATTGAGAAAATAATCACACCTTTTATAGGCTAAGGGTGGGAGCTGGGACAGGAAGAGGTTAAACAGATGAATACAACAGGGTTACCATCACATCCGGATAAGTGACGTAAGCAGAAGAGGATTATTGTTAATGTAGGCAGACGCAGTGCCCATAAGAGAGAGAGAGAGAGACATCTAGGCACCAATGCCTGTCACTCGGCTCCCTACAATAATCTATTCTCATAAACTGTTTAGGAGGAGTTCTACACATGTATGAGTCTCTACATGTATACCTATCCTTTCTGTATTAGAGGGAAAAACAAAACAAAATAAAACAAGGCAAAACAAATTCCTAGAAAAAACGTGAAACAAAAAAGACAAATAAATAACAACAGCAAAGAGCCCAAAACACAGACAATGTAGGCCTTCAAAACAAAGTGGTAGGAGCATAACTGAGATTATTGTTTTACATAATGATCTTCAAGAGTTCCTCAGATCACCATACAATAAATATGCACAATTGTTCTAATTCTGTGAATGTTAACTTTTTTGTTCCAAAAACTTATAGAATTTGTAGCACAATCATCTTAGCTATCCTGTGTGTTTATATAATTTTAGATATTTTTTCTTTTCTATTCCTTTTTATTTTCCTTATTTTCCCTAAGATATTATTTTGACTCCTTTAAGCAGATTCTTTTTCTTTCATTGTACTTATTGAAGTTTTTGTATCTTATATACTCTTACCATTTCTTACACTAGGGATACCATATGGTATTTACACATATGAATTTGATTTATTTCACTTTTGAGTATGGTCTCGAGATACATCCATTTACTTTTAAATATCTCAATGTGATCATTCTTTATATCTGAGTAGTACTCCATTGTATAAAAATACCACAAGTTTTTTATCCATCCTCAGTTGATGGGCATTTAGGTTGTTTCCAAGATCTTGTTATTACAAGTTGTGCTGCTATAAACATGGGTGCACATATATCACTGTGGTATGATGCTTTCAGTTCTTCTGGGAATATGCCCAGAAGTGGAATAGCAGGGCAAATGGGATTTCCAATCCCAGTTTTTTGACAAGCCCCCAGACTGGCCTCCACAGTGGTTGCACCAGTCTGCATTCCCACCAGCGGAACAGTTCATTTTACCCCGTAGCCTCTTCAGTATTTGTTCTTGGTAGTTTTCTATAGCTTGTCCATTCTTTCTGGAGTGAGATGGGATCCCAGTGTGGTTTTAACTTGCATTTCTCTAATGACCAATGATACTGAATATTTTTCATGTATTTCTTTGCCATTTGTATTTCTTCATCTGAGAACTGTGTAGTCATCTCAGATGCCCATTTTTGGAATAGGTCTTTGAATTTTGGGGGTCTGATTGTTTTTAATTCTTTATAAGTTCTAGACAGAAGTCCTTTGTCTGAGGGACACTTAACTAAGATTTTTTTCAAATTTGTGGATTTTCTTTTCACTCTGCTGGAGATTTCTTTTGACATGCAAAAACCCTTAAATAGGACATCATCATGGTTATTGATTCTGTGAAGTATTTCCCATGTGGTTTATTCTTGTTCATGAATTCTCTACCTACCCCTATGTCTTCAAGATTTCTACCTACTTTGTCTTCCAACAGATTTAGTGTTTCTGTTTTAGATCTTTGATCCATTTAGACTTTAGTTCAGTACGTGGTGCTAGTGTGGGTCTAGTTTTAGTTTTCAGCATATGGAGAGCCAATTTTTCCAGCACCATTTATTAAAGAGACTGTCGTTCTTCCAGTGAACATGTTTGGCCCCTTTATCAAAGATAAGGTGGCTGAGTGTGTTTGTAGTTGTAGTTGTATCTTCTAATCTATTCCACTGATATTTAAGTCTGTTTTTATTCCAGTACCATGTTGATTTTGTTACAGTAGATTTGTAGTATAACCTCAAGTCAGGGATTGTGATGCCTCCTTACTTGCCTTTGTTGCTTAGAATTGCCTTTACTATTCTAGGTTACTTCTGGTTCCAGGTAAATTTTAGGAGTGAATTCTCTAGATCTGTGAGGTATGCTAGTGATATTTTCATAGGGATTGCACTGAATCTGTATAACAGTTTTGGGAGAATAGCCATTTTCACAACATTTGTTCTTCCTATCCATGAACAAGGGAGGTCTTTCCATTTTCTGAGGTCCTCTTTGATTTCTTTTGTCAGGGTATCATGATTTACCTGAACTTCTGGTTCCAGGTAAATTTTAGGAGTGAATTCTCTAGATCTGTGAGGTATGCTAGTGATATTTTCATAGGGATTGCACTGAATCTGTATAACAGTTTTGGGAGAATGGCCATTTTCACAACATTTGTTCTTCCTATCCATGAACAAGGGAGGGCTTTCCATTTTCTGAGGTCCTCTTTGATTTCTTTTGTCAGGGTATCATGATTTTCCCTGTTTTTCTTTTGTTAGATTGATTCCTAAGTATTTCATTTTTTTGGATGCCATTGTGAAGGATGTGGCTTCTCTTATTTCTCTTTCAGTGGTTTTGAATGTTGACTTTGTATCAAGCTACCTTACTGAATTTATTTATTATGCCTAGGAGTCTTTCAATGGACTGTTGGGGGTCTTCTATGTAGAGTTTCATGTTATCTGCAAATAATGATAATTTAACTTCTTCTATTCCTATCCCTTACTCCTTTTATTTCTCTCTCTTGTCTTATTTCTCTGGCTAGTATTTCTAGCACTATATTGAATAGGAGTGGTGATAATGGACATCCTTGTCTTGTTCCTGATTTTAGCATAAAGGCTTTAAGTTGTTGGCCATTTAATATGATGCTGAGTGTTGGCTTGTCATAGATGGTTTTCATTATATTGAGGTAAAGACCCTCTATTCCATTTTTGTAAGGTTCTTACCATGAATAAGTGTTGGACCTTACAAAAAACTTTTTCTTCATCTATAAAAATGGTCATGTGGTTCTTCTTTTTGGCTCTATGATATGCTGGAGTACATCTATTGATTTGTGTATGTTGAAACATCCCTGCGTTCCAGGGATGAATCTCACTTGGCCATGAGTGTATAATATTCTTGATTTGCTGCATTCATTTCACCAAAGTTTTAATTAGAATTTTTGCATCCAGACTCATTAGGGACATTGGCCTGTAGTTCTCTTTTTGGGTTGGGTCTTTCTCTGATTTTGGTATTAAGAGTAATATTTGCTTCCAGGAATGAGTTAGGGAAAATTGCTTCCCTTTCAATTGCATTGAAGATTTTGAGGCATGTTGGCATTAAATCTTCTTTAAATTTCTTACAGAATGTCACAATGAATCTGTCTAGACCTGAACTTTTCTTTGTTGTAAAGATTTAATTATATTTTCAAATTGGTTAAATGAAATTGGGTTATCCAGTAGTTTTACATCTTCTTGACCCAGCTTTGGTAATACTTATGTTTCTAGGAATCTGTCCATTTCCTCCATGTTATCAAGTCTATGAGAGTAGAGGTTTTCAAAATTGGTATTGATCATCTCCTGTATTTCAACAGAATCTTTAGTGATTTCACCTCTTTCATTCCTTATTGTGTGAATTTGAGTTTTTTCTTTCCTTTTAAAAATAAGGTTGTCTAGGGGCTTATCAATTTTATTTACTATTTCAAAGAAACAACTCTTTGATTCACTGATTCTTTGTGTTATTTTATTAGTCTCTATTGCATTGATTTCTACTCTGACCTTTATAATTTCTTCTCTTCTTTTGGCTTTGGGCTTGACTTGCTTTTCTCTTTCTAGATGTTTGAGGTGTAGCATCAGGTTATTTATTTGTGTTCATTCTGTTTTCCTGATGTAGGAATTCACTGCAATAAATTTCCCTCTGAGGACTGCTTTCATTGCATCCCACAGGTTCTGGTAAGATGTACTTGTATTTTCGTTTGCTTGGAGATATTGTTTAATTTCTTCTTTAATTTCCTCTGTGACCCATTAGTTACTCAGGAGTATATTATTCAATTTCCATGTGTTGGAGGGGTTTTTGCAGTTTCTTTTGTCATTAATTTCTAGTTTCATAGCACTATGATCTGATAACATGCATGGGATAATTTTAATTCTTTTACATTTACTTAAGCATGTTCTGTAGGCTACTATACAGTCTATTTTAGAGAACATTTCATGAGCTGCTGAGAAGAATGTGTATTCTAATGTTGTTTGGTGGAACACTTTGTATAAGCCCACCAACTCCATTTGTTCACAGGTGTGATTCAGTTCTGTTATTTCTGTGCTGATTTTCTGTCTAGTTTATCTGTCCCTTTGTGTCAATTCCATGTTAAGGTCTCCTGTTATAGTTTTGTTATTGCTTATTTGATTTTTGATTTCAGCTAACATTTGTTTTGTATAGCTGGGTATTCCCAAATTTAGTGCATATATATTTAAGATTGTTATCTCTTCCTCTTGAAGTTTTCTTCTAACTAGTATGTAGTGATCTTCTTTATCTCTTTGCATCATTTTTGGTTTGCAGTTCACATTGTCTACAAAGAGAATAGCTACCCTTGCTTTTTTGGGAGCAGGGATCCTGTTGCATGGAGTATTGTTTTACATCCCTTGACTTTCAGTCTATGAGTTTCTTTTTGGGTTGGATGTGTTTCCTGTATACAGCATATGGTTGGATGTTGTTTCTTGATCCATTCTGCCTGTTGATTTCTTTTAATTGGTGAATTGAGGCCATTTATATTAATGATTAGAGCTGATATGTATATTGGTTTATTTTTGACATGCTATCCCTCTGCTGTTGCTTCTTTACCTTTCTACTCTGTTTAATTGTTTGCCTTGCTCAGTGTTTTTTCCTATGTCTATCTAGAATGTCTTTCAGTATTCTTTGCAGGGTTGGTTTGGTGATCA